TTTGAAACTTTCCTACTTATGGGCTTTAGTGTTCCGGGTCTAACGTTTGGTTTAGCTTTATCCGTATTAGTCGGCCTGTATAATTTGGGCTGCTGGTGATTAGTAGGATTTCCTAATAAACTGGATTTCTGATGAATAGTCTCAACAGTTTTTTTGGTGTTCCTAACGGAAATAGGACGTTTATCATATCGCCTTGTATTTACACCTACCTGGGTGGCCACATGTGATTGCTGCTTCACAGTAGCCGGGCTAAGAGGTTGTGAGGTATATGACTTCCCGAGAGATTCAAAGTGTACTACTGAATTCAGCTTAGACTTTTTCGAGGGTTTGGCATTAGTGCCAGTGTGCAAGGGATGCACGTCAATACTGTGATCTGTTGACATTTCTATGTCTGAAATTTCAGTATTTCGAGCTAAGTCTTCAACAGTTGCTTGACTACTGTTAGTTTGTGTATGCGATATTATCTGGTGCTCTTGGTCATCAGGCAATACAACGAGGGAAGTATTAACATCGGTTGTCTTATTGGGGTTGTCTTCCCTCAGTTTACCTGCGCGGCAACGTCTTTGGCAAGAAGTTAAATCAGGTACAATCCTGATATTGGTGTAGGGTGTTGAGGAGCCAAGAGTTTTGCCAGACTCCAAAAATTTCTTAGCTAGGTCAATAGACTTAAATTTGAAGAGTACAGGACATGGGTGGTTTGCGGATTTCTTACGAAGACGCAGAACCTGGCAGTCAGATACTGAAATGTTGCATGCCTGTAGACAGATTGCTTTAAGTTTGATAATAGGTACATTGTCTGGTATATTATATCCTAAAACATTGTATGAGGACATGACCCTCTTTACAGCCTCTGCAGTCAAAAAGTCTAGCAGGCGCTCAGATTTGAGGAGTGAATCTAAGCAAATTTCTTGTGATGGATCACAAAGTTGGAGGAAAGGAGTGATACTTTCGAACTTATCCTGCAGGTCTGTTATGGATTTCTGAAGGATCTTTAGATCACTAGTGTTACGGGCTACGTTATCGATTAGTTCTTCCATTAAGTTTGGTACTATAACTCTCGGTGTATCAATTGATCTTAGTACAAATTCATCGTCAGGACTAATGTTTCTAGTGACCTGCTGACTATTTGATGCTAGTCTCTTAACAGTACTAACTCGTTTAATAACTTTGACCATTATGGAGGTAAAGATTATAAAAATTTCTCAAAAATTGACAAAAGTGTGTGAAATACTGTTATATTATCTAAGTAGATAAAAACAACAATAAACAGGTATGAATGTATGAAGTACGAACTAAAAATAGACCACTATCAAACGAGTTAACTCTGACAGTTATAAACAACAAAACTAAGGACTTCTCTATAGTTCTTTTGTGATAGATTGCTCTTTATTAACACGAATCTGACTGGATCCAAACAGTATTCTGGAGGTGATAAATTTGGATATTTAGCTACCGGAGGTGCAACCAATATCAGCTATAATTATATAGTAGTCAAATATAGACCACGATATTCCAGAATTCGAAAAGATATTTCCACGTTATATGGAGAGATTGTAACGTCCTACACGAAGTAGTAGAACAATCAATGAGAAAACTATGTAGAATGATCCTGAAGAAAACAGCTGGTCAACAGAACTAGTTATGCCAAATTTTCATGACCGATTTTCATATGCTATGCGTCAGATATTGCAAAGTAACCCTTCAACTTATGTTAAAAATACTGCGAAGTAAAATAAATTTATACACTTTTATTTTTTCCTTCACGTTCCCGTTGGAATATAGGGCTTCAAGCTAGTGGCTTGAAGTTTCTGAAGCAGTATTTATTTTACAGGATGGGGTTGCTATCCTCATGCCCAACCTTTCCTCTGTCTTAGCGAGGTAAAGGAGTGCGTCGGTCGGGGATCGAACCCCGAACCATATGCATGGTCGGCGAGCGTCCCAACCGCTATACCACCGACGCACTTTAGAAAGGTTTATGAACAAAGGTAGTTATTGACTGAGTAAAGTTATTCCGAAACAAAGAATAGCAGTGTTTTGTTAATTACATATATGCAAGATATTAAAAGGTGTGTTTGCTTTTATTACTATTTCTAGAATTACTTACACTAACACAACTTATTGAAGATTATGCAGAGTAGAAAATCAGTAAATTAGTTAAACGTTCGCTGCGTAAGTAGTAGAGTCGAGTTATACGTGACTGACCACACTGAAGACTGGACTGGATTTCATTTACCATTCTATCAACAGTTTTGGTCTTTCAGATAGGCTAGAGTGGACATATTAATGTGTCTTTCTAGGATCAATTTGAACCCACCGGGGTTTACACAACATCTAATTTCAGATGGTATTGGGTTCCAAAGAGTGCAATATTTAATGGTAAAAAGTTTGCCGTAATGGTTTTTCTGTGGGTAGCCACCTTAAGAAGGTAGTCGTTGTTTCGCAATTGGTATGATTTGATATTCGCCCTCATTATGGATGAATTACTGTAACAATGCATCCTTATGACTTTGAAGAATAGAAATAAGTTGCACTTCACTCACCTTAACCATAGCTGTTCTAATTTCAGACGTATGCACCTATCAACATATTCCACTTGTTGGTTAAACCTTGCTACGCGTTCCTTGAGGGATCTCCGAGTAATTTTGAATATTTTTCGGTCTACTGACCATAGGTTACCACATAGGAGAGGATGATAAACAAGTCTTGGGTGATTGCATGTCATACATATAGCTAATCTTGCTTCTCGAGAGTGAAAGTTACGCCGAATAAAACCAGTAAGTCGTTTGTAATCAGATACCATCCTATTTGCATGATCGAAGAGGATAAATCTGAGTATGCTATACCAAGATCTGTGACTATGTGCAGTTTTGAGATGAGCTTACCGTAAATATATCGACATTTTAGGTTTCCAGAGTCCAAGGTGTGCTTTACCGCACTCGTCTGTGTTGATGTTCAGTTGCAATTTCTCGCTTCAATCGAATAGATTGTTTAGGTCATGTTGGATCTTACTTCCGAAGCTCCTATATTCCTCCATATAATCATATACTGTCTTGAGATCAAAACAAACTAAGTGGCAAGTAATGCGCGGTCTTCTACTTAGGAAACCGTATTGGGGGGGGGATAGTGGGACATTAGAGAGTAAATACTAAATGATTCGAGTCTTTACTATCTTTTCCATTACTCGTGAAACTACAGACGTGATGTTGATAGGGCGGGGGTTGTCGATATTAGCTATAGGCCCGTATTTATGGATAGGTACAATATAAGACTTCTTCCAGCAAGTAGGCTATGTCCTATGGCTTAGTGAAATTGAGTAGGAGTTAAGTTGAAGACAATATCACCGTTTTTCAATAGAATGGAAGATATACTGTCTGCACCAGGACTGTTAGTAAGCTTAAGATTTGCGGTAGCTTTATCGATCTCTTGTGTGGTGAAAAGTATCTCACTCAGATATTCGTCTGTTTTACATGTGAAATCCACGACCTGGTCGTTCTCCATGGTGTATAGTCTGGCGAAGTGCTCGCTAATAAGTTCACATATCACCTCGGTATTCTCTTAAGCCATACCGTCCAAGTATATTAATTTTAGATAGGCTGTTTTGGAGTTTGTTAGCCTACTTTTGAAAAAGCCTGGCTAAGTCTCCTGGGTTATGCGGTGGCTGAATGGCCCACATTTCTTTGTTTCTGAGGCTTATATTTTTCAACTCTTGGATTCTGGTGACAACGTACGTAATAGCAATTAATGATGATAAATCATGACATCCGTAGCATTTTATTGAGTGCTTGACTTCTCCTTCACGATGTCGGAATATAATCGCCTTGGGGGAATTTGAAGCTAAGAATCCTCTCAGGTGCAATGACATCATGAATTGATTTAATATTGGGATAAAAATTGTTAAGAACTGCGTCTAAGGTCTCGTTCGAAAAGTACGAGTGCCAATTAGAGTATCTAATTGGGTGCTGATACAAGTCTTAGTCGGCATGTGTGTATTATTTCATAGGTGTCTGGTCGGCTTGATCTCTGAGTATTGTTTCAGGGAAGATGTTAAAACAACACACGAATATTTTACGGTCACTGCCTGGAAATTCATCTCCTATACGTACTGTAGATGGTGATATGTTGTTTGTGAAAATAAGGTCTAGGGTATTTGCGGATCTAGTGGGTTAATTTACGTGTTGTATCCACCGTCCTGTGATGATGGAATTCAGGAGATCATCAAACATTTACTTCTTACAACAGGAAAGCACTAAACTAATGCTCCGTCTGAGTGAAATCAGCCGCTAATACACTTTCAATCCAGGTGATTTTCTTGATTCTTGAGGAACGTATTTCAACACTCATTCCTTTGAAGTCTACCGTCCAACTTATTACATTCTGCATTATTTGGATATCTGTTTGCCTGTACACTGTCAAAGCATCAATATGCACCAAACATGTATCCGGTGAAAAGTGTAGTCTAATTTAAGCATCCGACTACGGTTTCTACCTTCATGAACCTAATTCGTGAAATGAACAGAAATGGCAATGATAAATACACTACAACTACATGTGCGAAAGTTATTGAGAACACTAGAATGAATCCTATATTTAATCCCACATTTTCACGCAAATTTACATGTTTATATGAAATATATACATTATTATTAATTATAATAACTTACTAATTCCATCGGTGCCGACGGACTCTAATGTCAGAGAGAACAACCAAACTGTAAATTCATCATACATCAAATTATGTGCAATTTATATGATAACTTATCCATGCCTGTACAATTAGTATATTCCTGCATAAACAGAAAGAAAGATATATATTGTCATTATTGCTGTTATTATCAAACCTGGAATTGCGTGAATACTGGATTATTATGTGTTAGGAGGCCAGCCATTCTTTGTTTTAGCCATGCCCATCTGCCACAATAGCGGAAATGAAGTTAAAGTATGTGGATTATTATTATTTCACTCTTATTCATTAATAAATTTTGCGGTTTCATTTTTGAACAGATTTTGTTTAAATGAACTTAGGTTGAAGTGCAATGGCGAGTTTCGCCATTAGAATTAGAATTTTCATTTGTTCAGTACACGCCTAAGCAACCGCACGAAATGGAATCTGTTGCTGCACACAAAGATGAGGTTGTAAGTTGGTGTATTTTCCTCGTAATGTTTTCACAAGACTCCCGTTGAGTCCAAAATTGATGACTTGAAAAGAAAGTCCGTGGATGCGAAGGACATAGAGGATCATGATTCTAAGAATGGCAATGACGAACCAGTTGTCAAGAAAATCAGAAAAGGTATGATAATGCAACACCAGGCTTAACGTCATTTCAGATGGGAATGAAGCAGGAGATAACGCTAGTGATGAGAAAGTTGCTTCACCAACTTCAGAAAAACAAGCAGATGGTGAGTCGGATGAAGATGGCACAGAGGGTAAGTTTGGGTGGCTTTTTGTACAATTAGGATTACACATGGTTTGGAATATGCTGATAAGTGTTAAGCCAAAAATTTATGCAGACAACCTAAGTATTTGCTTTATTTTTAGACGACGCGTCACAAGACACTAAAGAAACAAACGGGACAAGTAAGTGGTTTCCTCCTACTTAACGTAATTTGTCAGGCGAACATCTAAACGGAAGTAATGGGGAACATGTCTGTGAACATCAGGATGAAAGTATGAGAGGTATTTTCTTATGCTCTCTTCTAGAATCAAATGATGGGACTGAGGCTGATCCGGATAAGGGCGATGACACTCCGGCCGACAAAGAATCAAACGGAGAGGCCAGCGATTAACTTTGGCATTTCTGCGCACTCCAGGCATTTATGTCTTTTGATAACGTTTTTACCGATTTTTATTCTAACCCGGCAGCTTTTGCACAAGTTTATTATTCTCCCATATTATACATTAATAGATGTTTGGACTCATTTTCATTGAAGCAAGGTTCTTTCAAATTGAGATTATTGTTGTTTTTTGGTTTGTACTGTGAAGTGTTCCACATATTCAAAATACATTGATATTCCAATTTCGTTATTTCTCGACTGCTACGTAATAACGAGCATTAGTTCGTTAGGCGATTTGCTATGCGTGCGTTCCTTCTATACTGCAGACGGACGTAGGCGTATGTATGCTTTATTAGTTAACTATATGACAGGCCGATCCGCGTGACTTAAGTGTTGAAAGAGTTGTATATTTAGCGAGTACCCCTATTTTTCCCTTTTAAACGACCTTATGCGCCCTCGTATTACATCGTGTACGTATCGTACCTCAGATTCTTGTTTCCTTCCTTTAGTTAAAAGAAAGTGGAATTTCAGTAGACAACCCGGCAAGTATATTAATCGTAATCTCTAACACAGAATTAACAATGTAGTCGTCACCCTACTTAACTCAAGTTCATATAGATTCTCAAGTAGGGATTTCCTATACTTTAGAGTAGTTCAGTTGCGATGAAGTCTTTGTGATTGCAAACCGAAAGCCAGCTTGCGTTTTTTTGCTAATTCTGAGTTCCTTCCAGGGAAAGCCGCGTAAGTCTTAATCTGATAACGCCTTACTTTCTCGATGCGTTTATCCCTCATAGTCGTCTGTCGATTACTCTACCTACATGTCTCACGCCTATCTTGTATTTTAGCAGAGGTCACTGCGTACACGCTAGCAACTCGAATGTTGTAGGGTAGCTTAGTTTCCACATGCACTGAACTGTCCCTTTGTAGGTCCGTCGGGATAGTGTCTATCTTAGCTGTTTCGTCGAACAAGATGGGAGTTGTGTGGGTTTCACAGTGAGGTTATATAGTTGCTTACCGGCACTCATTTCGAGCTTAGGTATGTTAACTCTGTATTCGACGGGGATGCGTTTCACTTCTCTGGTGTTATCATATACTAACCCATATAGCGAGGGAAAGACTTGGTTTTGTCGTAGTGAGTAGAATGTTGTTACTTTTAGGGCAACTTGGTCTGGCAATAAACGACTGGACTAATTTATTCGTCGAAAGTTATCGATGTTAGTTGTGGTCTGAAATTTCTCAGCAGAAACTATTAAATTGATGAAGTTTGAGAGGCAAGAAGTGTATATATTACGGCCGCCTGCACTGTGGGACGCAACACCAGTAGTCGTCCGGGATGTTTCGAGCTTCATGGTTATCGTGACAATGCAGTAATATGTCGGGATAAATTACATTACGTATGTCCGAGGGTATTTGGGACGTTTGGATTAGTTGTCTTTATGAAGGGTGTCTCCATGTATATGCTTAGCGAATGGGAATATCTACTATCTGGGCATGTTTGGTGAGCGTTGGGTTACCATATCGTTAACAGTTCAGTAAATACGTATGACGTCCACCACTTCAACTATGTACCTCTCGCAAATTAATTACGATATACAACAACAGTGTGAACTCGCTTTCTTCCTGGAAGTGTTATGCGTGGTTTATTCCCAACTAGATTTTTACTCTGGAATCATTGTATTTCTCCTACATTCATGTAAACTGTTCTGATCGTTAAGGGCAGTCTCGAAGTTTTGTACAGGTACATTTGATTCTTATGCTTCAACTAGTGAACTCTTGTTTGAAGCGCTGCATTCTGAGGTAGTCTACTAGTGGATAGTTGAGATGCGCTTTTTTGTAAATCTCAATCTGCCTTTTGTCATCTATGTTTCCATTTGAGATCTATTGATAAGACGTTAATGTAGTTGGCAATGTATAGTTAGCCATTTACTGTTTCCGTATTGTTAGTGTATACTTTTTTATAGGAATAGGTAAAATATTAGCTACCACCAGAGGTGAATATTTTAAATCAGATGCTTGTTGATGCATAACTTCTACACGACCTAACCCGAGTGAACTTGAAACTGGAATATTTGGTGGTAATGAGGATACTACAGTTAACCTATAATTTACTTGCCATATTAATCAGGTATACATAAATTATATCTATAAACCTGTAAGTTCTGTTGGATATAAATAAATATTTATTGTGGATAATACGGTTTCAATGTCACGTCACCAGTCAAGCGTTTGTGAGAAATGTGTGCGCTTTAAACTACTATATAACTTTACGAACAGGTGAAATAAGGGGTTTTATTTTCGGATTTTGACTACAGCGACAATATTGGAAATAGGTGTTTTCGTTTTATGTTACTTAACACCAATCATTGATTGATGAGAATAAACTAAATGTTCGCAATCTACTTGTGTATACGTGCACATACGTTTGAAGTAGAGATATTGCAAGTTAACTAGTGTTGTGTCCTGTGCTTCATAGTATGTATTCCCCGCTTCGAGTCGTTTATCGATTACCCTACCTACATATAACACGCCTATCCTGTATTTTAGCAGAGATGCACTGCGTATGTGGTAGGGTGGTCTAGTCTGCACCATACTGGTCACGACTTCTCAAAGTAGGTCGGGCGTGAGGACAAATACTCGCCGAAGACATTGGCTAGGGGTCGTGAATTGGCAGAAGTTAGAATTCATGGGCCATTGGATCGGGTCCCAGAGGCTTAATGGTATACGAGCTCGCCTTGTAACCAGGAGGTCCTGGGTTCGAACCCCTGTGGGTGCGTACTAATGAAGAGTCCCAAAAGGCTGACGAAACAGCTGTCCAGTACTCCCAGGTGGTTTTCCAATGGTTCTCTAACTGATGTCAGCTCATGATGTAATCCTGTAATCAAATCCCTACAAACCAACACTTGAATAAACACTTTTCCTTATAAGATAATAAACAAAAACTGTCAGTAAAAAGTTTGAGCATTATAGAATAGATCAAATAATGCGTAACTATATTTCAATGGTTTACACAATGATAAGTTTTTTGGTAATATTTCGAGCAATAAACAAAACAATTCCAACAGTTAGTGTGAACATGGGCAATAATTTTGCTCGAAATATCACCAATAACAAAAACTTATCGTTGTGTGCAAACCATTGAAATATAATTATACTTTATTTAATAAAAACTGCAGTTATATCTGAAGTAAGCTAAGCAGTCACCTATGTATACTAATGAGTGTAAAATGTTTTCTTTAATTTATTAGACGAATAAAATTCCCATCCAATAGGTATGAAAAAATTATCTATATCGGTAGTGTATGAAAATAACAATAGAATATGGTAACTTATTTTGTTCCATTAATTTTTGATGTGAAAAATTTCATTAGAATGATGATGATTGTTGTATTCCAGAGTGATTCTAACAATAGTTGATACAATGTGATGATAGCCACTGATATTTTAGTTTCATCATGTCTACCATAACCGACATTTATCGTTTGATTGTATGCCGTAATTCCATCATATATATATATATATATATGCAAACATCATTTTCTGTACTTATATACAACCTATATGGATTTGCAGTGATTCGGATAATCTTTTTCACACTTACTGAATGAATTTTATTCGTCTTATAAACATAGATGACCGGTTACCTTACTTCGCATCTAACTGCAGTTTTTATTGTTTGTTATCTTACGGAGGAAAAATGTTTATGTTGAATCCATCAAAGTGTGTGTAAGACGCCAGTGAAGATTGTTAGTCCTAATATAAAGCTGATAATTTGCCTAATCGTCCCATCCTACTGGCATTTGGCAAACAAATAAACAAAACAAGAGTAGCATCTACGGAAATAGAGGTAGACAGTTTTTTCATATTCTGGTGGTAAAAATAATATATCAGAAATTTTACATGTTCACTATGAATAAGTAGTCTGAAATGTCTATATTATCAGAGTATATACTCCAGTATGGTATTACCTGTCCCACGAATCAACAATAGAAAACAGACTATTATTGTCGTATTATCGTTAGCAGTATTGTGATGCTTACTTTTATTATTTAGTACCATCTTCTTTACATCCGTATCGATGATTTAAGTTGAAAAGCTTTAAGACCTGAACTACATCTTATCCTGTTGTCTATAGACAATTGTTCTTCATCCTTTATTCTAAGTGATACTAATGTCCAGTCAAATATTGTACATTTAATTGAGGCTGGAGCTCAGGTGAATCAATTATTGACATGTGAAACCACTGGTTTAAATTTACTTCAAAATCAGTTACAGGAATCTGAGGAAGAGAAACAGTGTTTTCAAATATAATATAATGGATGTCTAGTTTGAGATGATTTCCTCTCAATGCTTTAAATTAACAACTAGATATTTTTATCAATATACAATAACACACTACTTGTTTTTTGGATGAAGTTATCAAGACGAACGGGAGCACGTGAATAATTAATTAAGACATTAGTGCTTTCTTCTTTATGCTGTCATTGTGAATATACATTTTTGTTCACATGAAATGGTAGTGAAATATATTTGTAATATAACTCACCTAACTGTAACAATACTACCTTAAGCAGGGGGTATTTTGCATGCACACATGAACTGATTTCATCTAATAGTCTTGAATATAGTAGATATACAGAATTTAATTTTTTTTAATCTCATCCACATTCTAGTTAAGTCAATTTTGTTATGCTACTTTTGAATTTTGTATAAACAAGTAAAAAAAATTGTCCATCTTGTAGAACATTTCAATCTAGCTAATAGATATTAATTATTGGTTTGATTGGTTCAAAACTATCTGCGTCAGTCTACACTTCATATCGTTGATGTATTCCTTCTGTATTTTCCTTTGTATAATGGACGCTTATCTGTTGGCGTCTCTGTTTTGTTAACCACTGTTTGCAGATGTTAGTATTGTAGATACCTCACCACTCGTGTTATTTTTTTCATCAATTTTACATTTTACGTTAATCAACTTTACGTCTCTTAGGTCTAATCAAATGTTATTACATGTAAAGTGGATATATGAAAATAGCTCAAGATGAGGGATTGTATTCGAAGAAATAATACATTCATAAATTACTGTTCTCGTATATTTCCTGAAAGTGATGGCGGTTATCAGATACTAACGTTGTATAGATAAATACCGAACATCAACAGACAATTAACTACCATTTCATTCTACCTCATCCCCAATTATATACTGGTGTAATTTCAGTAGAGGCTCCTTGCCGCGTAGCATTTAAATTGAAA